CAAAGATTTTGTATCATCCTTCTGATAAAGTAAGAAGGGTACGTTTTAGGTATATGAGTTACCAAGGAAAGGAATTATTCCTGATTTTCTGTAGCTTCTACCTTCCACATTTCACACTCAGCTTTAACTTCCAGCAGCATCTCAAAATCCTCAACTGAATTTCATGTAGGTTGCCGCTTGCTAATGCATAAATGCTGAAATTTACATAAGCGTAATTACCAGTACTTCCTAATTGAAATATCTAAGTTGGAAGGAAAAATTACTTTCCTTTTAAGATTTTTTAAGTTTTTATTCCAGTTGAATATACATTTGTAAGGCACTGTTTTAGACTACACCAAATCCCTTAGGGAAATAAAAGGAATATGTTAATTATCAAGCAAATAATTTCAATGTTCTAGAAAACATTGGTGAACATAAAGTCTCAAGAAAGCACTAAGAAGGAACTTGACTTTGATATGTGACTTCCACTTCAAGGATCTTGGGTATACCTGGTTCAGAACTCATCCTAGGTTACTGTGACCTCTTTAAATCCTTCAAAAGTAGAATGTGCATGTGAATGTGCAATTGTTAGCTGGTAATGCCTATCCTTAAGATTGAGGTCTTCTGAGCAGCCCAATGACTATTCGCTGGGATGTTCACTGACCAGTCCTTTCACTTAGCTGAAAATGCTCAATTCCTACTTCATTTAGAGTGAAAATGCAGAAGATATATCTAAAGAAGAGCTGCACCAGAACAGTACGAGTTCATAATGATGTTAAAATTTTGAGGTATTTTTAAAACATTTTCTGTACTGTACTTTTTTTTCCTAAAGGTCTTGACAAGAAATTCTACACATGACTGCAAGTTATATTATACTTCTATGTCAAATGTCTATTTGAATCATCACAAAAACTCTAGAAGGAAGATATTATTATCCCCAACTTACAGAGTAAAATGAGGATCAAACAGATGAAGTCTAATGCTACTCAATTAAATATACTCTGTAGTCAAGATGGAAATCTGGGTCTTTTGATACTAAAGCTTGTTTCTGTTTGTTTTTTTTTTTTTTTCACACAAGTATAATCACAGTTTAGTGGGAAAAAGTAAATTAACTTTTCAGGCTCCAAGCCATTTTTATTCCATTCATCTGTGATAGCCCCTGCTTTTGTCAATGACTGTCAAAATTTAAATAATATATCAAAGGCATGCTCTATGCAGAAATAAGAGCAGTTAGGTAAATGAAAAGGAGTAATGAGAGCTAATAATAGGGCCTGTTAATATGCTTAGGAATGATTTCTTAGAAAGTTTTGTTCTGATTATAAAAAGTTAAATATATACATGATTTAAAATTTAAAATACAGAAATGTATGCAGAAGAGCATATTTACTTTAATCCTACAATTTGGAGAAGGTAACTTTTTTTGCTGCATATCTTTTACTTTTAAGTCTATATAACACACATATGTAATCTATCTATACATAAATTTTGTTTTGTGAACAGATTATACTATATATATGATCCTTGTGTGGGTATGTAGTGTGCAAATTGTGTACTCTACTTTTTCATAGACTATATTATGAACCTCTTTTCATCTCTGAATTATACATCTGTATCGCATTACATTACTTTCTGTGCTAAATTTCTGTTTGTACTGTGAGTTATTTCATCAATTCTTTTTTATTATCTGTATAGGTTGTTTTTTGTATTCATCATCGTGTAGACAGCCTCACAATGAATTTATACTTATATCTGACAGAATTATGTCAATTCTGTTGGATAGCAATTTAATTCCAAAGGGAATTTGCTATCTACACTTGCAATACCACATTTCCTTGAATAGCTATACAGATATATACTCCCACCAGGATTGAAAAAGAATTATAAATTTTTTCACTTTTGCCATCCTCCAATATATATTAATTATATTTGTTATTTGTTATTTGTGAACATTTAGTTCAAGTGTTTGGCCATTTTTCTATTGAAGCACCAGTTTATTTTTTTCATTAACATGATTATATGATATTTTAACCATCTATTATGTATATTGCAAATAGTTTTTCTACTTTATTGTTTTTTATTTACAGTGTTTCTGCCATTTTACATTTTATTTTTATATTCACTTTCAGAAAGGCATTTTCAGCCAAAGAGTATAAATATAATAACTTTTGTCTTCTTACTAGTTTGGTGGGGTTTTTCATTTTTTTTATATTGCATTTTCTCTTGTAAATTTTGTGCTTATGTTTTTCTCCTGTTGCTCTATTGGGGAGCTTAATGTTTCCTCTTCTAAATATTGTTGTATGTATTTTCCATTTCTAAATTTTAATGTACAAAAGTAATTTATTTGCCTTAAAACTTCAAATAATACTTAAAGTTCCTCCTTAACACCATCCCTTTTCTAAAAGTTCAGTCTGTATCTTTCATTGTATTGTATAATGATGTTGTATTAGAGCTTCCCTTGGTAGAGTGAACACTTGTGCCTGTTCTGGAAACTGGTGTGATTAGCTTAGGTCAGAACCTAAATTTAAACCCTCTGAGTTGTGGGGGAAAGAATTCCAGGGTCCCTGCAATCACACACAGTTCCCTGTTGCTCCTCGTGTTCTAGGACTGACTACTCAACAAGCAGAGGCAAACAAAAATCCATCTATGACATTTTACTGCAGGTAGCAGTGACCACAAATACACCTGTGCACTGTTTATTCCAGCTTTATTGAGGTATGATTGACAAATAAAAGCTATATATTGAAGGTGTACAACATGGTGTTTTGATATATATATATATATATATATATACACACACACACACACACACACACACACACACATTGTGAAATGATTATGACAATTAAGGTAATTAACATGTCCATCACCTCCCATACTGTCATTTTTATAATCACTTTACTTTTATAATCTTCCTCTCCAGTAGTAATCCTTTTGGATTCTGAAACACTTTTGATTCTTGAATTTTGTGTCCTACTTGAGATTTTTCCCTAGGCAAAAATTTCATAAACACTTAATTGAGAAACCATGAGAGGATTATTTTGTCGTTGTCATTGATACTAATATCTCCATTCCATCACTACTCTTCATTTATTCAGTAGGATTTTATTTTCTTTGCTGAATGGTATATCAAGAATCATCCCATATATTCCAGAATAGATTACTATCAACATTTATATGACATAGACCTAAAGAGATTAGGTGGTATGCTCAAGTCACACAGAAAATAATGGAGAAGGGGGAAACCCAATAATCATAGCCAATTTCATTATCTAATAGGAAGGAACACATTTTATAATCTACTGCCTAATTTTTAGGATGCTCCATAATAATGTAAGAAAATAACATTAGATTATGTTTCTCAAAATGTAGTACAAAAATAACCTACATCAGAATAACTTTATTAAAAATGGTAGTGAGCAAGGATTTCAATTAAATAGTATTTCAATTTTAAGGCAGATATGTGAGTTTTGTGCTTCAAAAATTAGAAAGGGAAAACTAAACTATAACTTATTAAAATGTAAATTCTTGATCCCCATATAACAATCCATGGGGAGGTGGGGAGCAGTTATCTTCATTTTTAACAGTTCTTCAGTTGACTCCTATGCACACTACTTTTGAGAACCAGTGTCTGAAGTATTTATTTATATATTTAGATTTAAAATCTGAGTTAATCAAAAAATATAAAATAAACACTTGAGAATGTATTTCATTTTACAGACAGATAATGCTTAAAATTTTCCATTTTTCCTAATTTTAAAGTACAATTTGGAAACGGTGTGTTTTTCTTAGATATGGTAACTACTTGAATATGACTTGGATTCAACTGTTCTACTGTTGAATACACTTATATAAACAGCTAACCATTCATAAGCAGATATAGTGTTCTCTGAACTATTGCATGCCTGTGAAAGCATCATAAATCTTGATGATGAATTTTTGTTGAAATATTGGGAGATTCTGCTAAAGTATATCCCTTCCTGTGATACTGTTGTTGGAGATTCTGCTAAAGTATATCCCTTCCTGTGATACTGTTGTTGAAATCTCATTCTTCATTTGATTATTCTAAAACAGCTTCCATGAAAGTAAGATTCCTAATTTCAAGCATCTTGCCTAATTACATTTTATTGCTGCTGATGAGCAAAAAATAAGCAAAGTGAATTTTAGTGTAATTTATTTATATAGGAGGGTAATACAAACGTGAATATATTTTCAAACTTACAAAGAGTAATTATGATTTATAATAATGAACATGCTAATAATATTGTTTTCATCATCACATGTTGTACACAAATACTGATAGTCATCTCTGTAGCCCATAAATATGTATAATCAATGTTTCAATTTAAAAATAAATTTTAAAAAACTATAAAATAAAACTACTTTAAAATTATTTTTTAAATTATATCTCATAATATTTGTATTAAAACCAAAATATACATTTTTAATTATTTTGATTCATAAATATGAAAGTAATTTAACCAGGAAAAGTTAACTAATTCAGGAGTAATTAATAGTATCTTTATTAGGGAATATTAAACCTAAAGGTTTTTTTAGTGCATCTATTTTCAAATCCCTTAATCTGGTAAGTAATTGACCTTGTATTTTTTCTTTGACAGGCTTATGCAGGCAAAGATCTTGAGGAACAGTTGCGGTCTGTGTCCAGTGTAGATGAACTCATGACTGTACTCTACCCAGAATATTGGAAAATGTACAAGTGTCAGTTAAGGAAAGGAGGCTGGCAACATAATAAAGAACAGCATAACCTCAAAACAAGGACAGAAGAGACTATAAAATTTGCTGCAGCACATTATAATGCAGAGATCTTAAAAAGTAAGTATGGAAAGGAAATGTAAAATAAGCCTCATATATCAGACCAGTGAAAGTCTCCAGCCCTGGTCCTTTAATTTCAGCATTTGAAGTGCTGAATATACTTTTAGGGCTAAAAATAAATAGAGAATAAATACTCTCAAAATATAACATTTTATGATTTCACTTTGGTGATAAGATGATTTATTGAAATACAAAGATAGAAAGATACATGCATATCAGTACATTTTTAAAATTGAGATGATATCCCATTATAAAATTTTAAAAACATATGCTATAGATATATTTTACAAACTATACCAGTTTAGTCATTTAAACATTCTATATCTTACAAAATAATTGTACGTAAAATTTCTTTCTGATTTGGATTTAGGAATGCTTCATTTCTCTCAAAACAAACCCAAATAACCTTTTCAAATGCTACTTGCCTTGTTGCTTTATAGACAGCTGGCTCCAGAGCTGGACATTAGTAAAGCCAATGAGATATCTAGCGTAGAGCTTCCCCCCAAATTATGATGCTGGATAAAATGTCATAATATAATTAAGTGAGCTAATTTTAAAAAGTAACTCCTTTCAGCTATTAGACATTAATTACTATGAAGGTTTAACATTGCAAAGTATTTTGAGAACAAAAGCAAATAAACAAAATGGCTTCATGGTTGAATAACCAAACGTTTATGTCCTTTTCTCCCAAAAATTTTATTTTAGGGAAAATATGGGAGAAATAAGCTAGAACGCTTAGGAAATACATCATTTGTAATGCCGTATTTAATGAGTCAACAGTGTTATAGGTAAGCCACTAAGTCATTGGAAACAGAATTCCAAGAGAGAGCATGAAAGGGATAGGAAAATTTGACTTTCTAGAAAAAAGTTAGTTCAGGATACAGTTCCCTAGTTGGTGGAAAATAGCTTTGCATTTCACAATGCTATCACCATGACATTACCTAAAGCTGCCAAATAGCCTGCCTGAAAATGATTTTTGAATTGAAGCCAAAACCATTGCCATCTTCTCATTTACATCTCAGTTCAAAAAGGAAGATAAGATCATGTTGCTCACATTTGCTTTGAGATAACAAAAATTGTGTACACTGTAGCAAATGAGAATGACTCTATCTCTGCATGTCTTATAAACATCCATATGTTAAATTTTCATTTTCTTAAGTAAGGAAAACCAAACATAAGTGCTGTGGGATATCGGTGTAATTTTAAGAAAGCACAATCCTAATTTAGCTCATTACCTGGCTGTAGAAATGAGGGGTTTTTTAAGAAAATACCCTTAGCTGCTCTGTAAAAATACTGTATCATATTCCCATGCACAGGGCAATTTAGAGTCCCATCTACTATTAATTTAAAGTTTTGTGTTATAATTAAATCTTAAAATCTGAAATCAAATGTGAGTGAGTTCCTACTGCTGTGGGCTCTTTTCCCTTTGATGGTGTCTATATACTTATAAATTCCCCTGTGACTCGACAGGTATCGACAGTGAGTGGAGAAAGACTCAGTGCACTCCACGCGAGGTGTGTATAGATGTGGGGAAGGAGTTTGGAGCAGCAACAAACACCTTCTTTAAACCTCCATGTGTGTCCGTGTACAGATGTGGGGGCTGCTGCAACAGTGAGGGGCTGCAGTGCATGAACAGCAGCACAGGCTACCTCAGCAAGACGGTAGGTATTTCATCTTTCAGCCATGCTGAGAGCCCTCTCAATGAGAACTTTAACTTTGAGAATAATGTGCTTAAACGTCAGGTCTCTTTAAAGTAATTTAGTTTGTGTCAGAGTTTCTTATAGTTTCTTTAGACAATGAAATAATTTTTTTAATATTCTGTTTTTGATGATAAAACAGCCCAAAGAAAGTAAGTGATACTTTATGAACTGGTCATATAGTGGAAACAAAACCTAGTGAATAAAATAATAAATACACATATGTATGTGTGTGTGGTGTGTGACATGAAGTATATATACATACACATACACACACCCAAGGGATCTTTAAAAAATTTATGGGAAAATTCATATTATCTTCTAATTCTATTTTTTCATAAACTTTTTGAGGTACCCTTGTATATATGTATATAGTATACATATATATACACACACACATGCATGTGTGTGTCTTGATATTTAAGCATTTTCATTTGGTAGTTAAATAATTTTAAATGATTAAATGTTCTGATTATAGAGATATAGCACAAATTACATATTCAATATATCTAATTACATGCATGTGTTCTGTGAAACAGTGGTGTGGTATTGAAATAAGCCATCACACTGAACAAATTTATTATGTTCTTTTAGAAAGCAAAGGAATTCATTCTGGCAGTATCTCAAATATTTTGAATAACCTGGGAAGTCCATTACATTAGATGTTAAACTTCTAATAAATGACCAAGAAACTTCTGTTGAAGTTTGGTTGGGATCAGTAATTTTCAGAGCAGGAGCACAGAACTGCTTTGTAGGTCTTATGTGGGAAGAGGAGGTCAACTGTTGGAGGACATGCGCATGTGCTTATGATAACCATGGGAGTGTTTGAAACAGTGTATATCACTGTCCTCTACACAGAAATGTGTGGAGAAGTCCAGTGCTGTGAGTGGGCTGATGCAAACTTCTCCCTGAAAGACAAAAATGTGGTTGCCCTAAAGGCTTTTGGAAGTTCTTTTGAGAGTTGGACTAGCATAGATAATTTGGCTACATTCAGAATTGTCATTTGAACTTTAGAACGAAAGAAATTTGTTGAAAAAAATCTGATGTTAGATTTGATTTGTACAATGTGGAATGATAGCAAATTAACATTTTAATTTCATACAAACTTTAGCTGATCTACACGGTGCCTACTAATAAAACCTTCTTTTATTTTAATATGAATGGAAATGAAAGGATTATTGCCTCAATTCTTTCAACTACATTTTCCCATCTAGTTGAATATTTCTAAAATTTTTATTTTAATGATCATTTGGTCTATGAGTTTGGAGACACTGTCCTATTATACATTCCAAATTAATTTCTTTTAAAAAAAGAATTGTATTTCTTTATATTGTTTGCACACTTGATGAAGAAACAAGGCATTTCAGATACTAAGATTTGCAAGAGGAAACAAAAAATGAAATATAAATCTGAATTTTCTATTGAACTTGCCTCTGCCTCTACTCTAAATGTTAAAAAAATGTTAAAGGTGATGCTTTGGGGTCTTATGTCATTCCCATTATTATCATAATTAAGCATAGCAATATGAAGTTTCTTTTCTGATTATTTCCTAAAAATAAAGCATAATATAGGTTCATTCTAGCATGTGTGAGCAAGGAAAGAAGTATGACTCTGAATACATTCATTCATTTAGAAACATTATTAGTGAAATGTATTGTTGTGGGAGTGTGATTACATTTCAGTGCTTGAGAAAATTCTAATATTTTAATGGACTTACGTACGATTGTAGTGTTAGGGCATGCTAAAACTTATTCTTGGTTTATCCCACCCCAAGTCTTTATTAAAAACAATAAAAAAATTTTTAACTAAGAAATTATGGTTTTATATTTTATACTATTCTGAACAAAGTAATACTAATTTAACTGGTTTTACTGAGTATTATGTATTTATCTTACCATATCCCCGAAGAAAGACAGGATTCTTTAAAATCCTCTAATAATTGGAACTAAACACTTTTTCTATCCAATAGAAAGACTTATGCCAATATATTCTCTAAAAGATAACATTTATTTTAAAAAGATATTAATATTAAAAATGTTGCTGCTTTTATATTCAAGCCAAACTCCATAAAAGAAATTTTGGCCTACGAAGTCTCTTGAAAAATATGTTTGTTTGTTTTTTTAACATAGAGAAAATAAATATGGGTGATTTAGGAATTAAAATATACTTTTTGGGGGGAATACCATTAACAGTGTATATTTTTTAAATAATCCAGTTAAACGATATGATGTTTTCTAGATTATAGGGTTTTTTTAATGGTGTTTGATTTAATCACATATCAGGTTTGTTTTTTTAACATAGAGAAAATAAATATGGGTGATTTAGGAATTAAAATATACTTTTTTGGGGGAATACCATTAACAGTGTATATTTTTTAAATAATCCAGTTGAACGATATGATGTTTTCTAGATTATAGGGTTTTTTTAATGGTGTTTGATTTAATCACATATCAGTTTGGATGATCTTCAGCAGGTCTAGATATACCAGTTGCATTTTTCTTTTAAAAATGAAATGACATGGAATAGACTGAAAAGATAATTTTGAAGAATTATTTCATTAAATAGACAAAATGTGGAGCTCCTTTTTATTTTAAAAAATGCCTTATTAAATTTAGTTGTCAGATGAAATTTTATTTTCAACATGCTCATATTGTGAATAGGTAGAGTTAAATAATAATTATTGTAGTGTCAGGATTTTCTTGTTTGTTCATTTCTTGAAATTCCCATTTTTCTATAGTTAATATATTTTCTTAGTGAAAATCAGTTATCAACTGACAATATTCCAAAGCTATTTTTCATTCTTAATTTCTTTCATAAATTATTATATTATGTGTTCTTGAGTTAATATAGAGAACATGTCTTAAAATGAGTCTTTTTTTTTTTTTTGTCTTCCACCGGGCCGGCCCTACCTCAATCATTTTAAAATACCTATTTCTTTAACAAATAAGGGATAAAATTCTTCTCCCCTCCCCTGTTAGTTGATATGAGCAAAAGCCAACATTCTATTTCTCTTACTATTGGTTTACCAAATAAATGTGTACTTTTTGTATGGACAGAATAGACAGACAACAGGAGTATCTTAGGTAGAATCAAATTTGGAAAACAGTAAATCAGTATATTGTTAGAAAGCAAAATCAATAAATTTAGTCTTCAGTTAACCATCAGTGGTTTTTTTCTCTGACCACTACATATTTATTTCCTGCATTGGTCCAATTAAGTATCATTTCACCTAATTGGTATCAGAGTGGAAGTATTTATTCAAGGGTAAGTCTCTATACACAGTAGCATATAAACTGCTCTGTCAGGATGGAGACCTTAGAGGGATTTAAGTTTTAGAACTTGTAAAGCTTCAGGGCTAAGAAGAGCATTTAGTGCTGAAGTTAAGGTGCATGTAGGTAAAATAATTTGACGCAGTACACTCAGTACTTAAACATCAAATATGATATTTTTTTCTATAAGAACATTAAGTCTACTTTAGATCATATGGAATCATCTCTTGACATATTTCATCTTCTTTCAGCTGCAGGCTTCACAGAATTTAGGATTAGTTCTATAATAGATTTATGATGTTGATATTATTAAATTTATCAGATTCCTCCCAATCATATTCTCATATGAAAAATAGGGATTTATCTATAAAATTCCTGAAGTCTGTTTTTTTGTTGTTGGTTTATGTGTTTTTTTCAGTTTTGTTTTGATCCTTTTTGATAGTCTTGCAATAATCACAATACTTATAAATTCTGATCTGCAAAGCAGTAATTTTAAAAAATTTTATATATTGTTATAACAGCACAGTAGTTATTTTGCCATTTCAATTTTTTAAAGATTTCACATATTTGAATTACACATTTGAAGTTAATTTAAAAAATGGTACATACACCTGGTGTCTGTACCAAGACACCTTCTCCTCTGACTCTGCACAATCCCCTTATGTTTCCTCATCACCTTTTTCCTCTTCATGATGGTGACTCCCAAATTTTTTCTCCAGTTCAGACCTCTCTTCTGATTTCCATACTATCTACTTTACCTTGTGACTTGGCTTTCCCTCAGATAGATCCAAGTCAATGTGTCTCACATTGGAGTGATGACCTATCTCCCACCTCCACCCTTGCCCCTGCCCAAATAAACAAGCAAGTAAATGAATCCTGTTCTCTTTCCAGTATCTCTCTTAGTAAATGACAAAGTCATTCATTCAGTTGGTCAAGCCAAGTTATTCTTCCTTTCACTAAAGCCCAATTAATAATTCCTGTTAAATCTACCTTTCAGACATCTCTAGAACCCATCCAGTGTCTTCATTCTGCTCACCCCACTCTTGGTCCAGGTGACATTTATCTCTCACTTAGACCATTAAACCTGGTACAGCCTCATAACTGGTCTCATATCTCCTTTTGTACTTCAATCCATTTGCCACATATGAGCAGTGAGATTTTCTTTGCTAAATGATACTTTTTAAAATGATAGTTTTTAGCAGCTTTAGATACTGCTAAGAACTCCTTAGTAACATTTCATTATTGGGACTGAGCCAGCAGTCACCTAGTGTTATTGATAAGCTGGGTCGCTCAAGCCAGCATCTGTTCTGATTGGTGCGAATGCTCTTAAGTTGTTAAATATTTTGAATGGCACCCTTCTTTAAGACAAAAGTCCCTTAACATGATTTACTCAGTCCTCCATGATCTGGGTGTGACCTAAATCTCCAGCCTGAATTGTAACTGCTCTTTCTCTCAAAAACTCCTTTTCGCCAGAAAAGTTTTGATTATGTCAGTATCTCTCACCTCCAGCATTACAGTGCTACACTGTTTGAAATATCTCCTTACACACTATCCTAGATTTCCATTTATCTAGTTAGTTTCTACTCATCCTTAGCCTAGACATGTCACTTCCATGAGAACGTGTTGTATGCTTCTGTAGCATCCTTTATTGCCCATATTTTAGCATCATTACTTTATCTGTCAGTTGTTTTATTC